CGTAGAAATTTCTTAGCGTTTAAGCATCACCCATAATACGTAGTACTTTGGAAGGGCCCAATGTAGCGCGGCGCGAGCTTGCTCGCGCTAGGGCTCGTAATAGCCAGTGGTACGAATTTCCCATTCGTTTGAGAGTAAATACACGCTCACCAATCTTGGAATGCAACTTGTGTTCTTGCGGCCACGTTTATCAGCGTTTTCCTTCTGCTTGTGAACCGCGAGTTGTAGCGTCTCTTGAGGTGTTACAGAAGGACGTCCACCACTAGTTTTACCTTCACCAACCCCCGTGTGGATGATCAACAGGATTTTTTGCTACACCACGTACAGAAGGTCTTCTATTTAACCAACGTGAACGTCCGGCTTTTCCTAATTTAATTTTTTTATGATTAATATTAGATACAACACCTAATGTAGCAAAACAAGTTAATAAAATTAATTTTAATTCGCCAGAATTTAAACGAATTCTTGCATATTTATTATTAATTTTTTGAATTAATTGCGCTGATGTACCGGCACTTCTTATTAATTTACCTCTTGAGTGTGGGTATAGACTAATATTATGTATTAAACTACCGATAGGGATATTTTGTAAAGGTAACGCATTACCTACTTTTAATTCAGCATCTGATGAACTTTTTATATATTGATTAATTTTTAAACCTTCAGGTGCTAAAATTAAATAGGATTTTGAATCTTTTTTAATATAAGCAATATTTGCTGAACGGTTTGGATCGTATAAAATTTTAATAACATAACCTTCTATATTTTTAGATCTATTAAAATTAATTATTCTATATAAACTGAAGCTTCAGGGTCAACCCTGGAGCATGCTGCTTTCCCTCAGCTCACTCGTGTCGAGTGGGAAGCCTTTCACCGCCTTGCGGCGGTGTCCGGTGAGGCTGTTGTCGCGTCGCTGCTGAGCTCAGCGACTCCCGATCAACAACGTCAAGCAGCTCAAGAGTTCATGGAACGCGAGCTCGCCGACGCGAATCGGCGAGCGACAACTCTCTCGCGTTCCTCGAAGAATGACATCGTCAAGTTGGAGACGTCAACCTACTCCGGTGAAGGAGCGAATCGCCTTCCGTTCAAGTGGGGATTTTAATTTATTAATTACGGAATTATCGGAAGATTTTTCTTAAAAAAAAAAAAAAAATTATAACAAGTTAATTTAAAATAGATGAAAAAAAAATTATAACAAGTTAATTTAAAATAGATGAAAAAAAAATTATAACAAGTTAATTTAAAATAGATGAAAAAAAAATAAAGAGGGATTGTTTTTTTTTTTAAAAAAAATGCATTAATATTATCATAAAGATCAAATTACAGTATAAAAGGGATTTATACCTATAAAATGTTATATAATTATAATAAAATTTTTTAATTTTAAAAATACGATGTTTTAATAGAAATTATTTTTTAAAAATTTTATATTATTTAAGAAAAAAAAATATTTTATTAGTTTTTCTAAATATAAATAATACTATTTATATTTTTTTTTGAATTAAAAAAATTCAATAATATTTAATTTTGTATATATTAAAAAAAAATCAACAATATTATGACAATAACAAATTATATAAATAATCAATTTACTTTTTTAGATATGGCAGAACCTTGGCAATTAGGTTTTCAAGATCCAGCGGCTATTAATGGCGGCTTTGAGAAAAGCTGCGAGTGGCCTAGCGACTGTTTCGGCGGTTGCGGGGCTGTTTGCGGCTGGCCTCTGTGTTGTTGTTTTGTGCTGGGGGCGACTTGTCGTCTTCTTTAGTATGGAGGATATAAACCTGGTTGATCCTGCCAGTAGTCATACGCTTGTCTCAAAGATTAAGCCATGCATGTCTAAGTATAAACAATTTTGTACTGTGAAACTGCGAATGGCTCATTATATCAGTTATAGTCTACTCGATAGTACCTTACTACTTGGATACCCGTAGTAATTCTAGAGCTAATACATGCATCAATACCCAACTGCTTTGTCGGGCGGGTAGCATTTATTAGATTGGAAACCAATGCAGTCTTCGGGCTGGTATTGTGTTGAGTCATAATAACTGTTGCGGATCGCGCTTTTGCGCGATAAATCGATTGAGTTTCTGCCCTATCAGCTTTGGATGGTAGGATATGGGCCTACCATGGCATTAACGGGTAACGGGGAATTAGGGTTTGATTCCGGAGAGGGAGCCTTAGAAACGGCTACCACATCCAAGGAAGGCAGCAGGCGCGTAAATTACCCAATCCTGACACAGGGAGGTAGTGACAATAAATAACAATGCTCTGGCTCTTCGAGTCGGGCAATTGGAATGAGAACAATTTAAATCCCTTAACGAGGATCAATTGGAGGGCAAGTCTGGTGCCAGCAGCCGCGGTAATTCCAGCTCCAATAGCGTATATTAAAGTTGTTGCAGTTAAAAAGCTCGTAGTTGGATTTCTGTTTTGGATGTCCGGTCCGCTCCCTCTGGGAGTGTGTACTTATGGATATTCGAGGCATTTTTTGTGAGGCTGCCTTTCTGCCATTAAGTTGGTGGGTTGGTGGGCTTGCATCGTTTACTGTGAAAAAATTAGAGTGTTTAAAGCAGGCGTTTGCTCATTTGAATACATTAGCATGGAATAATAAGATACGGCCTTGGTGGTCTATTTTGTTGGTTTGCACACCAGGGTAATGATTAATAGGGACAGTTGGGGGTATTCATATTTCAGCGTCAGAGGTGAAATTCTTGGATCGCTGAAAGATGAGCTTAGGCGAAAGCATTTACCAAGGATGTTTTCATTAATCAAGAACGAAAGTTAGGGGATCGAAGATGATTAGATACCATCGTAGTCTTAACCATAAACTATGCCGACTCGGGATTGGCAGTCAATTGACTTTAAATGACCTTGTCAGCACCGTATGAGAAATCAAAGT